GTTTCTAATTGTATAAAGCAGACAAAATTGTATAAATACATATATTTTGTTCCCCTCTTCCAGATCTCGCTCACCACTCTCTCAAATCTCACTCGTCACCCTCGTCTTTCTCACTTATACAAACAGAAGCGAAATGTATAAATTCTGTTTCTGTTTGTATAAAGCGTGAGAAAATTGTATATACACATGCAAGTACATATATTTTCGTTCTATACACTTATAATTATACAATAAAAATACTGCTCTATCCAGTTTTTTTTGCCTTTCTCTCTTTCTCGTTTTATACAATTTTCAAATTGTATCTAATTTCTCTCTTGCTCATTTTGTACAATTCGATTCAATTGTATATTCCTTGTCAAGTCTCTTTTGTCTTTCTCTCTTTCTCATTTTATATAAATTCAAATTGTATATAATCATTCTATACACTTATAATAATACAATTCGTTTTATATATTTCGTTTTTATACAATTCTCTGCCCAAGTGTCTTTCTCTTTCTTGTTTTATACAGTTCGCTTTATACTTTGCTTCAACTATATATGTATAGCGAATTATACAGTTTTGATGTTTGCTATGGAGCGTCATTATGCAAACTTTGCTATAGCATACAAATATAATTTTTTTATTTGCTATATGTGAAAGTTGCCCTATAATTAATCGTCACGCTTTCTCAGTTCCAAACAATTTAAAATAATTAGTTTTATCAAAATTTAAAAAATAAATATGGTTTGCAAGTTATTTTCAATAGTATCGTCACTTTTTTTTTATAATTTTTAAATAATATATATATTTTACATAATTATGTATCTTATTAGTATATTTTATGAATATTTGAAAATTGACTCAAAAAAATTTAAGTTTTACTTAAATATTTGGTTGATTAGTATATCTAATATATAGTTTATATTTTTGAGTTATTAGTTACAATTAAATTAATTATTTTATTTGGTATCAAATTCATCCTTATTTGTATATGTTTCCCCCAAAATGATCCCGATCTCAGCCTATAAATATATCTTTCTTTTATATTATGTAGAGGAGGGGCTTAGAGGTTAGAGACAAGAGATTTTACAGTCTAAAAACTAGAAGTTTATTTTTTAATCGAGAGAACAAAAAATCGAGAGCTATTTTTTGTATTTATCCTCTTCTTGCTCGAGTTAAGGGCACAGTGGTGGTAGTTCTTCACGGTGAATCTCATCGTCTCCGTCATTGCCGGAAAAGGTAAACTTCTATCCTCTTATATAAATCATTTTATACGCTCGGTGTACTTATTAATTTGATATTATTGTTAGCAGATTACTCTGTTTTACTTCATGTTGAGCAGTTCGATTATTTTCTTTCATAAGTTTGATCCCGTTTCTAAGTATGTGAATCTTCACTGGATCAGTTTTGTCTCAATTTTGGCGTTTAAAGAGTCGGAATTTGTATGTTATTTGTGATTTTCTTGTATAAGAGTTGCTATAGTTTTGAGTTTATTTGTTGTACCAGTTCCATAGAATATAATTTGCGTAGCCTCAAGATGGTTTTTAAATTTTATTCATATGTTAGTTTAAGAAGATAAATATATTGTTGAATTTATTAGAGACTCATCAATGAAAAAGCAAAAGGTCAAGGATAGTTTTGTGCCAAACAAGAATGAAAAAAGTTAATAATATTATCATGTTTTTTTCCAGACAACACAAAGTATGCTGGAACCATTATTTTAGTTTTAGTTTTGTTTCTTTCAATCTGTAAATTATTGTTTTCCCTTTTAAACTTTACTTTCATGTAAATAGTAGTTAGTAAATTAAGGTATCTTCAAATTAAGATATAGTTGGATAGTGTGTGAGTTTTACATACGTACAAAAACTAATATATTGTGTTGAGGTAGGTAATATATAGAATTGGGCAGTTTATTGTTTTATTTTTTCTATATATACATGTATTGAAGAGAGGAAGATATAAAGAAAATATTCAGCGCGAACTCTTTTATATATTTTGCATTTTTTCATGGTAGACAGAGAAAAGTCTTAAATCGCTGCTACTATTTTCAGTTTTTATTCCTATCAATACTTTGGTACAATGGGAGATCATATAACACCTCTTCTGAGTCTTAAGTTCTCATTCTTTCCGGAACTAATGCAACCTCTCTTCTTAAATTCCTAGAAAATGTTTTCCTGGAAAACAAGTAGATTTTGGACTTATTTTCTCATGTTTGGTTGGTGAGTAGAAAATATTTTTCGGAAATGATTTTTAGTGTTTGATTTATGAATGAAAAATATTTTTGAGGAATATTTTTTATTTTTACTAGAATACAAAATAATTTATGAAATTGAAAATATTTTTTTAAAAT